AATTTCACTTCCTTTTTAAATTCAGACTTTGTTGTGATAAAGGTAGGAGTGGCACAAGGTCAAGAATTACTTCATCTCTGTTAACTTGGCCATAACAATAGCGACAGTACGAGGTGAACTGATAATTTCAAACACAGTGACAAATCAGTCTAAATAAGCCTCCCACTTGCTGTTTGAATTGAAGATTTAGGGGCAAGAAATCACAGTTTAAAGAGCTTCCTGGTGGCTGACAATGGTTGGGAATTATCTTCACTCCTGGATCATCCTGGAGAGCAGTGGGTGGTTTTGTCAGGTGAAGGTCAAGTCTAGCCAGATTGGAGATAGATAATTGAACTGTTTCAAAAGCACCAATTGTTGGAGAAGCTCAGCAGGTCTAGCAGCATCTGTGGAGAGGAAGCAGAGTTACCACTTCGAATTCAGTGACTCTTCTTCAGAAGTGATAGCCGCTAGGAAAATGAAAATATGCTGAAGGGGTGGGGCTGAGAGGTATAACAGCGAGTGATTGGTGGGGACGGAGCCCAGAGGGAGAGAAAGGCAGTTAGGCAGACAAAAGGATGGATAAGGGTAAGCCATGAAGAAAGAAAAGCTGATAATAGAGACCATAAGTAGATGAAAATAGGTTGCCTATGCTGAAAGAATTCCATGTACCTGACCTGCAATGTCGGAGTACATAAAGGACATGGAAGATGGTGTTCAGGTTCTAAAATTGAGTGCTGAAGGCTGAAAGATCCCCAGGAGGAAAATAAGATGCTGCTCCTCTAGCTTGTGCTGAGCCTCACTGAAGCACTGCATCAGGCCCAAGACAGAGATGTTGACCATGTGTGTTGAAGTGGCAGACAACTGGAAACTCGGGGTCATTTTTGCAGATAGGAGTAGGTGTTCTACAAAGTGGTTGCCTAGTCTGTGTTTTGTCTCCACAATGTGTGTTCAGTTCTGGTCGCCTCATTCTAGGAAGGATGGTGCAAAGGAGATTTACCAGGATGCTGCCTGGACTGGAGGGCAGGTCTTATGGAGGAAAGGTTGAGGCAGCTAGGGCTTTTCTCATTGGAGCGAAGAAGGATGAGAGGTGACTTGATAGAGGTGTACAAGATGATGAGAGGCATAGAGAGAGTGGATAGCCAGAGACTTTTTCCCAGGGCGGAAATGACTATTACAAGGGGGCATAATTTTAAGGTGATTGGAGGAAGGTATAGGGGAGATGTCAGAGGTAGGTTCTTTACACAGAGAGTGGTGGGTGTGTGGAATGCATTGCCAGCAGTGGTAGTGGAGTCAGATACATTGGGGCAGTTACAGGATTCTTGGATAGGCACATGGATGACAGCAAAATCTAGGGTATGCAGGGTAGTTTGATCTTAGAGTAGGATAATAGGTCTGCATAATAACATGGGCCGAAGGGCCTGTACTGTTCTAAGTTCTGTAATATCGATGAGACTGTACTGCGAGAAAATACAGTGGACTGCTTTACCTGGAAGATGTGTCTGGAACTTTGGATAGTGAACTGGTGAATGGGGAAGTGTTACGTCTTCTACAATTGCATGGGAAGATTCCGTGGAGGTGTGGGGAAATGTTGGGAGTGCAGGAGGAATGGACCAGAGCATCCAGGATGGAACAGTCTCTGCGAAACACTGACAAAGGGAATAGGTGTCTTGTAAGTAACAAGTAGTGGAAGGGGTGGCTTACAACTGATTGTTTTTTGGGGAGAAAGTGAGAACCAAATGGACGCTCTCAGTGTTGTGGGAAGGAAGAGAAGGGACTAGCGCAGAAGTACAGGAAACGGGTTGGACACAGCTATGGGCTGTCAACCAAGGTGGCGGGAATCGTCAGATGAAGAAAAGGTGGAAATTTCTGACAGAACCCCTTGTTGAAGTTGGCATCAGAGTAGATGAGATGGAGACACTTGGAGAATGGAACAGAGCCTTTACAGGAAATGAAGCGTGAGGATGTATAGTCCAGGTAACTGTGGGAGTCAGTTGGTTTGTCATGGATATCAGTGGCTAGCCTATCCCCAGAAAGGTAAAACACAAATGTCAAGGCAGGGAAGACAGGAGTCAGGGATGGAACAAGTGAAAGTGAGAACAGGGTGGAAACTGGAAGCATAACTGATAAATCTTTCCAATTCCAGGCAAGAGGGGGAAGCACCACCAATGATGTCATCAATATACTGGAGAAAGAGTTACGGGGAGGGACCAATCTCAGCGTTGGGCACTGCATCTTTTGCCCATCTGACTTTTTCAGACTAAAATCTACCGATTATCACTGTACCTTTCTGACAAGCTGCCATCATTTCCTCCTTTCTCCCCAACGCTGGGTGGTTACTTTGTTTTGTTGGGTGGATTGGGTTGGGGGTATGGTCTATTCTACTCTCACTAGTGACTTCTTGCTTTTACCATTTCTAGCCTGTTTCCACATCTTGGTTTCTTCAACTTACATAATTTTTCTCTATTGGGCTAAAACCATCATAAACCCATGGAGTCACCCGTATCGTTTCCAAATATCTTATCCTTCAAGATTCACCTCCCCTCCAGCAGTGACAGCATGGTAAGTCGTGCCAATTGGCTTTCCAGTTCTTTTTCTCTTTCTTTGTCCTTTCTATGTTTTTCCTCCTTTCTTCTCTCTCCCTCTGTAGTAATTCTATTCCCCCTGACCCCTTTTAACTACCTACCGAAGGAGTTGGGAAGGAGCTGGATCGCAACCAGGAACCAAGTGGCAGGAGCTAAATGCACAAGTTGTGTCTCTCAACGATGCTGATCAAGACTGGGCAGGTGGGAGCGGTCCGGTGAGGCAGCCATGGTGGGAGCAGGACTCTGGCAGAGGAAAGGACAGTCGGACTCTCTAGCTTTTTGTTTGTATCTTATTCTAAGTTAAGATGAATGGCGCCATGTATGTATAGCAAAAGGTACATTGAATACGCGAGACAATAAATGATTCAGTCAGTCAAACAATCCATATCATCCTCCTGCAATATCACTGTAATGGCTATCAGATCACACTTGTTCACTGCTGTCTGCACTTAATTCATCTGTTTGTTTTGAATGCAACATACATTCAGGTAGAGGTTTTAGTTTTATCTTCTTACTCTTCAAAAATTCTCATCTTATCTGTTGGTTAACTCTTAAGATTCATACTCTTAATCCCTTACTTGTCAAGGCCTGTTTGTTATTTCCCATACCAGTACCTTCTTTTTGGCCTTAAATCCACTCTTTGATTTACTGCACCTTCCCCAGTTTGATTCCTTTCCCTCACTAGTCAGTTTAAAAGGCTTCCTTCTTCCCTAGTTACGCGTTTGGCAAGAAGATAGGTTGCACACCATAGGAAATGAATGGAATAGGAGAGGCTAGAGGTTTGCTGAAGACTAAAATTTTCTAAGGATAAAGCCATCACAGATAGAGTTGGGAGGTGGTTGAGTCAATGAAAACTGAAAAGGTCAAAAGCTAGGCAGTTTGGAATTTAAAAGGTGCAATGACAAGCGACTTAGAAAAGATGGATGCAGAATGAAGTAAAATTGGAAGGGGGTTATGCTGGTTATTGTCACTAGATTTTGTGAAGAATGTGTGTGAAGACAGCAAGATGGCATACTCACATGGATTTGCACCATCTGCTACAATCAGCATCCGCAGTGAGCTGAGGCTTACATCCCTCTGATCCCGTTGAGCTAACAGAGACCAGTGCATATCCCGCGATTTTACCAAAGCAATGTGAGCTGCAAAGAAACAAAAAAAAGGAGCAGGATTTGCTATTACACTTGAGATGGTCAAGACATCTTAAAATTAAATATGCAGCATTTAAACTGTCAAACGTGTTTATGCTACATTACAGAAAATACTGCAGCGGTTCAAGATGGCAGCTCACCACCTTCTCAAGGGCAACTAGAGATGGGCAATAAATATTGACCAATCAGCAACACCCATGTCCCACGAGAAATAAATAAAACTTACGTCTTAAAATAGAAGGCCCTAAATTAACATTAAATGCTATAGACTAGATAATAGACTGCAGCAGTGGTTCTCACAGTGACATAACGGTAGGCAATACCTGGGGTACATCATTACTACATCATTTAAACAGGGTCAGCCAAATCTTTCACAACATTGGCAAGACTTGATTCTGAAAAAAATTGCAGATGAAAAGCCACTGGTACTCATCACAGCAGAAACAGTGAGGCCACATTAGGATATTGAAACAGTGAAGATGCTAAATGCCCTACATGATGAGAAGCCATGCAAGGAATGAATTACTGTCATACAATATTAGTTGCAATTTTGCAGCAATCTGTCACTTTTGATATTTCTGTTCAATTGCTGCATCTCTGTACAGGAACTTCTATTATTTCATAAATCTGAGACAAATTTTTGTTCGACAGATGAGAAAAGTAAAGTATTCTGTCACTTTGATCTAGCCAGGTAAGTTTGTTTCTTTAGGCTAAAGCAATAAACAAAAGCATTACACTCTGAACTAGAAAATGTGTTACCGCAGTTTGATCCAAAGGGGGATATTATAATGGTAGAGCAGGCTCAAGTGGCCAGGTCCTTGTTCAGACTATTTAAGATAACATATTCTTTGAACCACTTGTTCATAATCTGGACTTTTCAACTGTCTTCCACTTTTTGCTTAAGATAAGCCATTCTGTTTGCTTGCATCCTATCATAGTTACGACAGGAAGGAGAAACTGATCTACTACTCTACCAGTTTGCACCAGTAGTTTAAATATGTTGATCGAATCGCCAAATTGGACAGTTGCTTTTCTTTAGCACCACTATCCAGAATAGAAGAAAACGACACCGAGCTTCTTCAATGAACTCAAAATAATGTGTTTATTTTAATTGCAATCTTATTCTTCAAACAATTGGCAAACACTGAATAACATTTACACTCTAATCCAGATCTGGTACTATATTCCTTAATCCCAACACAGACATACCCACACATCACCAAAATACCATGCTCCCTGAAGAGATAAGTTAAAGGTATAATGGAAAATGACGCTCCTGTAGGTCAACGGTCTGAACACCAAGGATACAATCAAGTGAGAGCAAGAGGTTGAGGGGTGACCTTATAGGGGTTTATAAAATCATGAGAGGCACAGTTAAGGTGAATAACAAGGGTCTTTTCCCAAGGATGGGGGAATCCAAAATGAGGGGTCATATGTTTAAGGTGAAAGGAGAAAGTTTTAAAAAGGACAGGAGGGGCAACTTTTTTAATATACAGAGGGGTTCATGCATGGAATGAACTGCCAGAGGAAGCGGCGGATGCAGGTACAGTTACAACATCCAAAAGACATTTGGATAAGTATATGAATAGGAAAGGTTTGGAGGAATATTAGCCAAATGTAGGCAAGTAGGTCTAGCTTAGTTTGGGGAAATGGTCAATGTGGAAGAGTTGGACCAAAGAGTGTTTCCATGCTGTATGGCTCTATAAGTGACTTGTCACAGTCCACCAGATTTCCTGTTCACAAAATCAATGTGAGCTGCTGTATTCACATTGTACTTATCACACCATCGTGGTGTGAGAACGAGTTAGCAGCCAATCAACAGATACATTGTCAATGATTTAAAATTTTAATTTTCCTACAGTGGTGGTTCCCCAAATTGACCACAATTCCTCAGCTGAGGCTTAACCCATAACTTGATTAACAATGAACATAATTACCTTACATTGCATGCTATTGCTTTTACTACATACAAAGAATCCTTATGCTTTTTAGAACAGCCTTCTCAACTCGCTTTATCACTTTCAAAGATATGCGCCCATGAGATCATGATGGAAAAAAGAAACATATCTATTTTTGTGAGATATGACGCAAGGTGAGATAAGAATCTGAACGGTGCTGGCAAATTCAAAGCAACCTAAATTTGTACGAAATTGTCATTAGCCAACAGCAGAGTATGAAATGGACAGAACGATCTTTGCCTGTTCAACGTCTTTTGAACAAGTTATGACCATACCTTTGTAGGCATAAACTTTCTGTATCCAGGAAAGAGGGTTCACCTTCATCAGAGCATATGGGATGTTGATCACATGCATCCTGTTCATGACACTCTGTCAAGAGACATAAAATATGAGTGAATTGCACTTTGATGTCTCAAACTGAACACTGATAAATGGCTGACAATCGAATCACGATCATCAACTTTCAAAAGAGATTTAAGCGGGGGTTAAGTTGGTTTCACAATGACATGCCTGCCAATCAGAATTCAGAGCCACATCAACCTTCTGCAGTTGATTCAACAATGCAATAACTGAGCCAAGCTGGTCTCCACTTGGTCAGGATGCAGCTGGTGTGGCGCACACAGAATGCCCATGGAAAGGTACAACACTGGGGCCGGATTCTTCAGTGGTTGGGCAATGGTGATATTGGCTGGACCAGCAAAAAGGATGCAATAGGCAGTTTGCCTATTGAGGAAAATGAATAATTTGAAAATGTCATAATTCTGAACTGTTTAGATTTACTTTGATTAAGGAGAGATCTGCTGCTGGGCTTTCAAGACAAGCAATTTGGGGCGACATGTTGGCTCAGTGGTTAGCACTGTTGTCTCACAGCGCCAGGGACCCGGGTTTGATTCCAACTTTGGGCGACTGTCTGTGTGGAGTTTGCACATTCTCCCTGTGTCTGCGTGGGTTTCCTCCCACAGTCCAAAGATGTGCAGGCTAGGTGGATTGGCCATGCTAAATTGCCCGTGGTGTTCTGGGATGTGTAGATTAGGTGGGTTATAGGGGGATGCTCCAGGGGTTGGTGTGGACTTGTTGGGCCGAAGGGCCTGTTTCCAAACTGTAGGGATTCTATGATGAACAAACAGACCAACTAGGAGAGGACGAGCACAGGAGGAAAGCTAAATCATGCAACCAGGGGAAAAATACATAGAGAAACATCAAAGATAAGAGTAGGCCATTTGATGTCGAGGTTGCTCCACCGTTCAAAATGATCATGGCCGATCATCAAGTTCAACATCCTAATCCCGTCTCCACCCACCCCTCCAAAGGCCTCGATCCCTTTAGCCACAAGAGCTATATCTACCTCACAACACAATGTTTTGGCCTCAACCACTTTATGTGGCCGTGAATTCCACAGGTTCACCATTCTCTGGGTGAAGAAATTTCTCCTCATTTTAGTCCTAGAAGGTTCATCCTTAATCCTTAAACTGTGACACTTGGTTCTGAACTCCCCCTACTATTGGGAGCATCCTTCCTGGATTAAACTTGTCTAGTCCTTTTGGGATTTTATAGATTTCAATATTCTGCTTCTGTATTCATGTTACGAAGGATGGTTTCAGATAAAGGGCTTCTTACAATGAATAATAAAAGCTCTGTACTGTTGACTACGTCATACTGCTCTGGCAAAAACTATCAGTGAATGCCACATTAGGCATGCAAATCTCTGAACATCACCCTAAAAAGCTGTAAACGTAAGTGTTGTAAGCCAGTGCAGGAATGATGGGACAAATGGTCTCCGTCTATGCCATAACAATAACATGACAATGTCTAACCGGTTTTCAGCCGAATATGTCAGCAACCATACCTTTCTCCATGATACAGAGATTTAGGCAGAGATGACAGGTGATAACACAGATCCAGATTAACTGCATCAGATTAACACAGTGGAAGAAAGCTACAGATAGCACAAGGTCTTAATAGACTGATCAGGTGGGCAGAAAAGTGACAAATAGAATCTGGAAAGGTGAGTGGTAATGTGCTTGGGAAGGTAAACAAGACAAAGGATACATGATAACTGTGAGGTTACCGATAAATAGAAGGGAACAGAGGAAGCTCTGCTGAAGGTCTGAAATTATGCAAATCAATATCAAGGTCACAAGGTTGAAAAGTGCCTAGTAGAAAAATAAGTCATTGTTTTGCAATGTTGAAGTTCCCTGGAATAATAAACAACATTAATAACAGTGGAACAAAGAATCAAGATTGTAGAAATGCAGTTGTTCAGAATCTTACTTGCAGGTGGAACAGAGATGTCCGGAAAAGTAATTACTGAACCCAAATCTGAAGTTGTCAATATATAAAGACTATTATGAACAGTGAAAGTTGCTGATTATACATCCCAATATGGGAGGAGGCTATCTCCTGCATGTGCATCATAAAGTACCAGGGGATGATGAGATAGATTATGAATGATTGAGGACCAGATTAAAGTGTTAAAGACCAAACAGTTTTTTCAAAACGTTAATAGAAGAAAACATCGTTGGTGATTACTGTTCGTGGTAATCAGGCAGCATGTTCTCTGAATTCAGAAGCTGGAGTGTTTGGGAAGGGCAAATCATGGTTCTCAGGGAAAGGAAAGCAACAAGGGTGCAAGGGCAGAAGATAGCAGTTCCACAGTTGAGGGCTGTCTACTATAGTGATGTGTAATCTAGCCGAGGAACCAGGAAGAAAGTTCAGAAGTTTGGCATTTATTTAGAGAGATTTGGGGTGGGAATTCAGAACAGTCAGACCAAAGCAAAAGCAGCGCAGACACCAGTAGTGATGCGAATGACCGAGGGATGCATAAAGTTTCATAGTCAGAGGGGTGGAATGGTTTGGGGGTTTATAGGATACAAGGAAAGGGAATACATAGGCCATGAAGGGATGTAGAGACATGTATGAGAATTCTAAGTTGACCAATAATCAGTTGGTGATAACAGACTGATATGCAAGGCTGGAGAAACAGAATTAACCGAAGAGTGCAAGAAAAAACAAAGTAGTGATCTCAGCTGGCAAAAGCAAGTTCTGACACATTTGGGTTAAGCAGATATGGATACAGGCTACATAATGAAATTGAAAAACAACAGCTTTTATGCCTGGGGGAACATGGGATCAGAAAAACTGTTTAGGGGCAAAGCAGGCACTGATTGAGGTTGCTCACATTTAACTTCAGCCCAAGGTTTGCCAAGAAGGCAGATGGAAACAAAGGCAAGAAAGTGGTGCTTGTGGGAGGCGCCAGGGACAATGACTTTAATCTTGCCAGTGTTCAACTGGAGGAAGTTAGCTCCATTTCAACTACATGGAATTCCACAACTTGGAGTTCTGGCAAGCAAGCGTTCATCAGCACAAAATGAATAAAAGCAGAGTTCTATCAAAACTCCAAGTATGTCCGGAAAAGGAGGAGTAAGTTCCATATTTAAAAGGTTCTCCCAGCCAAGAAAAGAGTGCACTCTGCTCCTAACAATGGGGCTTATTGATCTCCACAGTCAAACAAAAATTCTACAGGATAAACGTAAACCCACAGAAAGCACATCAGTCAAAGTACTGATTCAAATGATACATCATAAAAGCAATCTATAAAGCAGTATAATTTGTAGACTTAAGACAAAGAGAGTAAAGTATTATAGCACTTTAACATATTCTGTGTGCAGACAGCAAAGTAACAACTGTGATAAAGAGAAAAAAAATCACAAAAATGTAACTGAGAGCAAAGATCATGTGGTTTCATAATTCTTAAGCCATGATAAAAATAGGAAGTCTTGCTCTGGTTTCTCACCAATTAAGAAAACCTGAAAATAGGTGATATTCTGGCAATCGATGCTCAAAGTACATGGTGATGACATGCAAATTCACTCCAGCATACCCCAAAATGCTTCGGGAAATGCTCAGTAGTAAGCAAACAAAACAATATTGCCTCTTATGGGGCACTGAGAAATATTTAAAAAGGAGAGTTCTTCCTTGATGTTGGCAGCTGATCACTCACCAGTGAGTCGGTCAACAGCAAGTACTGGTGAGGAATTACCCGGTTATTTAGGCAAGTAGTGCTGGTGACCAGGGCTGTTGAGGTCCAGCGGTTGGTCAGGTCGTGAAGGCTGTTGGTGCAGGTGCATCGTTACAGTGGGGAGGAAGCATGGGTCAGTTGGTGTTGGAATGGACGGCAGGACAGCAAGAGACAGTTGGGCAGGCACTGTGAAGAAACGAGGGGGAAGCGGGAAGGGGGAACGGGGGACCAGTCATTTTGAAAAATCTTTTATTACTAACTTATGCCTGTTGACCCATGGCGTCTAGAAAATTTGCTGTGGTTATAAAAATTTAACAATGGGCCGATGACTAAAGATGTTGACAAATTCTTCTCATTCTGCTTTTGTGCAAGATACACCAACACAAATAAACTAGGTATTGTGACTATATGATTGTATCACCTAATGAAGGGATGAGTAAGACTGAAAAAGTAACCCCCAAGAATCAAAACGTAAACCACAAGAGCCCTCAAAAAGGAAAAGTTGTGTCATGACTTTTTGGATTTAAGAAACACAGCAGGAAACTCCTACAAACAACAATGCAATTAAATGACCAGATAATCTACTTTCCTGCTGATGACTGAGTCATAAATATTGGCCAGGATATCAGGGGCAACTGTAGGTGCAGACGCTGGAGAAACTAAACTGTAGCATCTGTGGAGAGGGAAACAGTTGACATTTCTAGTGCAGCATGACAAAGGGGTAACAGTCCCACTTGTCTTTGAAAAAGTGCTTTGAGATCTCATAAATATACCAGAACATCTCATCTAAAAGCCCACCCCTCTGATAATGCAATACACCATCAGTACAGAGTGTCAGCGTTGAATTTTATGCTCAATGCCAGGAATGGAATTTGAACTCAGAAGCTTGTGATTCAGAGGTGAGTGTGTTACCAACTGAGCCATGAATTAGAGGCCCAAAAACAGTTGTGAAGAGGTGGTATATCAGACTTGAAATATTAACTTCGTTGCTCTCTGCACAGATGCTGCCAGACTTGCAGCGTTTCTCTGAAACTCAGTTTTCATTTCAGATCTCCAACATCTGCATTACTTGGCTTTTATTCATTAAAGGCTCCATCATGTATAGTGGGTACATTACATTTAACCTGCAATCTATATGCATTAGATATGTATTATGAACCCATGTTTGAGAGTGGAACTGTTATAGCAGCTTCAACTGTTGCTACTACTGCCAAATATAAATTCCCAACAAAAATTTAAATCACAAGGTGGCTAAAGTTTTTGAACGTCACTGTAGTATGTGAAATTCTGCATTAGCAACTCACTTCCAAAATCACACTGAGGTTTAACGGCAGTCCCTATTCACACATTGGTCAGACATTATGTTCAAAACGACTTCAAACACTTCCCATGTCAGTTGACACCATTTAAAAATGATTAAATTTACTTGAACATTATCAAGTTGCAAACTGCTCAGTGAACACCTTTGTCTGCCCAAAGAGGGCAAGAGTATAAATGGTCACTTGGCAATCGACAAAAATAGGAAAGACAAATGATTTGCTGTTTGACCAATTTTGGTATGGATGCCTTCAAAAGTGGGCTCAATGACAAATTTCTTCAGACAACCCATTTGACACGTAAATGTTTCCACTAGAATGCATGTGATAAGACTAAGTGATCTAATGTATAGTAAATCTTGGCAGTGTACAGAAAACAATAGATATTGTACACCATAGGTATCTCAGTTTATTTTGTGAACATGTTGATTAACTGTCTGGAGAAACAGACAGGCTTTGTCCCTCAAAGCTAAACTGGACGCAATACTTACAGTTAAAATGCCATGCCACAGCCCAGCATCTCTTTTAAAGTCCAAAACATTTGTTAATGTTTCCCCTGCAATACAAAAATAGAACAGTCACAGCTCAACTGTACGTTGCTTTACTCAGTTGCTCTGACAAAACGGTTGCAATCTGCTCTATAAACACTGCAACCAGATGGCTTATAAAACTGTTCATAACATTCATGTTGTAGCACTGGTATGTCATACATACACAAATCAATAATATTAGCAGCTCTGTTATTTGTGGGAAAAAGCTTTTGATTCATTAAAACTCTATCTCAATGCAGTGTTAATCAACTTGACTTACATATGATGCATGAGGCAGTAACTTCTGTAACACTTCACTAGTGAATACATTATTATAGATCCTTTCAAATAGCTACAAAATCAATAGAAACAATGAAACATTGACTGTTGCATCCTAATAAAAATATTTCTTCAAGCTCCAAGTTGATTAAATGTCTAAATTCGCTTACTGATTTCATACAAAATGTCAAATAAGATCTGACATTTGCTTTCCAGACTTGAAGTGACCTCTTCCAGCCAAGGATTCAAAAATGGAGCTATAATTTGCACTAATAGTCCAAGGGTTTTTATTTGGTGGGAGGGGCAGGGTTGGAATAAAGCTTGAGCCACTTCTATCTGATCATCATCCAATGACCTGTTGGACATGCAGTAACTGCACGATCAAGTTCAAACTCTATAACGGGAAGGGTAAGACCTTAAAGGTCAATTAATTTGCAAATATTCATTGCCTCAGCTCGCCTATGAAAATGCTGGAATGCCGTTGAGACACGAGAATGCTGTTACTCCTCAGATCAAAGCAGACAAAATCAACACCTCCAGCAGAGAAAGAGGAAAAAATTACACAAAAATTACATACTCCACATTGGCTTAGTTGATGGTCAAGGTTCAGTTTGGCATATCCTCCCATACACCAGAGTTGGAAATCTTATCCATGACATTCCCCACTGACAAGCCTCCTCCAACCCTCGTTTCACTTTGAAACTAAAAAAAATTCTTAGATTCTATCGTCCAGCAATAAAAACTTTACTTCTGAAAATCAATTAGACATAAGCTCACCTTCAGTGTATCCACAGCTTTGGCTAAGGGCATGGCAATGTGCTAACATGGCAGTCTGAGATATGGTTATACCCATTGAACTTCCTTCTTTACTGGTCTTATACTGAAGGAGAAACAAGAATGCTGAATACGAATACTGAAAAATTATCAATGATGTACATTCTAAACCACAGAAACATTATCAAGTTCACTTGCATTTGGAAACATTTCCATGATTTTTCTGTTACTTGTTTCTAAGTGTTTGTGTTGCTGTGTTCCGTATCCTAAATTATACTTGGAACATAGGAACAGAAGGGGAATATTTTTTCCCCTCAAACCGGACAAATCATGATTGATTTGAGACCAAACTTCACCTATTTTTTGTTATATCCTTAATACCTCAGATTTACAAAACTCTATCAATTTCAAACTTAAAATTTACAATGGATCCACCGATCATCATTTGTGGAAGAGTTCTAAACTTGTATTTCCGTGTGTGTTAGGATGTTCACTAATTTTATTGCTGAAGGATTTTGCTCCAACCTTCAGATTCCAACCTATACTCTGACTCACCAACAAACATAAACTACCTTTCCTCTATCTACCCTATCTGTTCTGTTCAAAATCAAAACATCAACCAAATTACCCCTTGAAACTTCAAAATCCCACAAAGTACAATTGTAATTTGTGCCATCTTTTGATTTACTTAAACATTCAAGTTCAAGAACTTTCCTAGCAACTTAATGCAACATTTCCTCCAAGGTCAATACATATCTTGCCTTGAGGTGCACTGCCCAGAACCACTCTTGGTGTGATCTATTGGTGGTTGTAATAACAAATAGAATTTCTACCCTTCATGTACTCTTGATCTCGAGACATTAAGGTCAGCATTTCATTGGCTTTGTTCATAATTTTATCCTCATGTTCGTGATATTTACCTGGACTCCATATCCCTTTGGATTGCTTCCAGATTTTCAGCACTTATAAAGCAGGGGGTATTTTCTTATCCAAGATGGATGACCTAAACTCAATTGTGTAGAAATCCATTGCCATGCTTTGACCCAGTCACTTAAATTGATATAAATATTTCTTTCCAAACTTATGATTCTATCTATTCCACTCGTCCTGTGTGCATCAGATGTAAATTTGGGTATGTGGCTTTCTACCAAATAATTAATAAATAGTAAATAATTGAACAAACGCCACAGTCCCCGCAAAGTTACTATTAGTTACATCCTGCTAATTAAAGTACCTGTCCATTATCCCTATTTTGACTTCTTCCACTCAGTTGATTTCCTAACTAGGTCAACAACTTTCCTCCAAATCATGAACTTCAACTTGTGCTCACTGTCTTAGAGGTGTGGCTCAAATACTTCTTTTTATAAAAGTCCACATAAATCGTATGGAGTCTTTAATATGGGAAGCGATGGCCTGGTGGTATTATCGGTGGACTGTTAATCCAGAGATCCAGATAATGTTCTGGGGACCAAGATTCGAATCCCACCAAAGCAGATGGTGGAAGTTGAATTCAATAAATATCTGTTATTAACAATCTAATGATGATCATGAATCCATTGTCAATTGTTGGAAAAACCCATCTGGTTCACTAATGTCCTTTAGGGAAGGAAACTGCCACCCTAACCTGGTCTGGCCGACATGTGACTCCAGACCCACAGCAATGCGGTTGACTCTAAACAGCCCGCTGGGCAATTAGGGATGGGGCAATAAATGCTGCCGAGCTAGTGACACCTCATCCCGAGAATAAATTTTTAAAACGTGAAAACATTCTACTGCACTTTATTGGAGTACTATGAAACAAAATTTAACTTCCATTGAGATTACTTGGTCATTGTCTTTAGCCACCTCTATAAAAAAAAGTTCAATCAGGTCCTTCAGGCATGACCTTCATTTTACAGATCCATTTTGCTCTGCTGATTGGTTGAGCGTTTTCAATGTATTCAGTCATCCTATCCGTAAATATGGGCTCTAGCTATTTTCTGGCCACAGATGTTAGGACTGATCAGTCTACAGGTTAGACTTCAGAAGGCATTCATTTACTCCTCTTGTAGAGAATTCATAAACACGTCCTTTTGAATTCATGGACTATGAACCACAAATTCCAGACATAGCTCAAGTGAACAAATCTAATGGCTTCTGAAACATTGCGGATCAGATGCACAAGTGAATGGGACACTGTGCAGGTACTGATGTGCCAACCCAGTTCTGTTTGGGACATTTAAATTTCCAATGAGAAAATTCCCCTCTTCCACATGACGCTCACAAATACCTCTGACTCAGAGTTAAGAACTGGATACTTTGGGCTAGTTCCAATATACTTATCTGAATTGTTGGCCAGGAAATGCTAGACAGATTACAATCTGGTTTTAAAACCTAGCTAAGTCCATGATTGACCATCTGCACCCCTAACTGAAGCTAAATATCCTCCTAGAAGGGTACCCCCAGATCAGACAACAAATACTCCCCCAACCAGCCAACTACCCATTCATTCATTACACAGGACTGTGAAATTTTGCAATTGGCAGCGAGAAAGGGACGTGTCAAGGAATCCCCTGTATATGTTCTGCTTTAGAGCTCCCAATGCATGCCTTGCTCCGCATTTCTGGAAAATTCGATTTGGAACGTCCTGGAAGATATAGAGAAGTGTCACGTTGGAGCAACTTGCCAGCAGAATGACATTCCGCAATGACTGTTACTGCTCAGGGGATACAAGCCATTTTAATCATTCACCTAGTCACTGTAGTTTAGATGTATCTTTATTATATTGTGATGAAAGGTGCAAGAGTTACATGTAGACTTTTTCTTTCTTTTAAAGAAGAAAATAGTCTGGATTTCAAACTAGTGGTATTTGGGTACTGGTTAATTTAAAGGGGTTTAAAAATTAATTAAGGCAATGTTTCAGGAATCAGGACTGTAACTGCCTGTTGGATAGAGCAGGAAGCCATAGTAAACACTTGAGTGTTAACAGACCTTTGTTTATTTTCTGTAGTTTAAGGCAGATGAGAGAAAACTTTAAACTTTTGCTGCAGCAGAACCTATGATGAGCACGATTTTTTTAAAAACTGAGTTTAAAAACTTTTGGGTTCAATTTGAAGGAGACCCGAGGTCAGAAGCAAGTACAGCCTCTTCTAGAATAGAAGATTGTTTAGAACAATTAAGTGATATGTTCATGAAACAGTTTAGAAATTTCCAGTCCCGGAGTGCATGGTTTGAACTCTGCACATTTATTAAAAGACTAAGAAAGTCTAACTTCTCAGTTCGGCACATATTTAAGGAAAAAGACTTGACCACTCACAGGTCAGTAACTGAGAAGCAGTTAAGTCAAACCTAAAGTTTAGACAGAGATGGAAAATGTCTCAAGACTTTCATTAAAAGCAAAGTGAGGGGGCTGGGCAGCAGATGAGATTTTGTTTTGCAATGCACTTTGAAATCTTTCTGACTGTATTATATTTAGATAGCTTATTTGTTTTATTTGATTAATTTTGGTTGTTGCTTAATAACTGTTTTATTGTTAAAATCAAATACTCAGCCTTGCGCACTGAAATTTCAGTGAAAGACTGCCACCTTGACTAAGATGAGCCAAAAAAATCTATTGAGCTAGATTTCATTCTGAGATTTGACCTGTCCAGTAGTAAGACCAGCTGGTATCCTCCCAATATCACTGTACCAACCACAAGACAAGTGCAACCTGACCCAATATACCATGAATGGAACAAGCTTGTTCTGCAATAATTGAGAAATATATTTGAAGTGAACCTTACAGGGGATATCCTAAAACATTTACTGTCTCTACCAATGACGATATATTTCAATGAAGGGCCATGGGGTCATTTAACTTAATCCTTTTGGCTATAAACCAATCATCTTTCATTTGGAGGATCTCGTAGTTTCTTTAATAACTCCCATATTTTGGCCTCCACTTCCTTCGAATTTATTTCATCTGTTGATTACCTTGCATACAAATAGTTCTTGGCATTAAAACCTACATTTGTCTATCAAAACCAGCCTTGCAACTCTCCTGTGCTGGCACTTTTAGATGTTTTTCTGGGTTCAATTTCCTTACTAGGTTTTTATACACCTCTACAGCTTCCTGGAGATCTCTATTTTGGCCCTATGTTCAATAGGTCTACATGACTCATCTCTCCAGTGTTATCTCCATTTTGATCCTTACTTTCACAGAAAACCCAAGGCCTAGATGATCCTCTTAGGATTCTTGATCCTATTAAATTGCCCAATTATTCAGACCAAGCTCAATGGTCTCAAATTGCCATGATATGATTGTTTGCCTTCACTAGATGAATGTGGCTAATGTTCACTGCCTGCTGCAACAGGATTATCATAGAATCACAGAATTCCTATAGTGTAGAAGCAGGCCCTTCAGCTCATCAACTCCACACCAACCTTCTGAACAGCATTCCACCGAGAACCACACCTCCACCTTATCCCTGTAACACTACATTTCTCATGGCTAATCCACCTAGCCTGCATATCCCTGGACACTATGGGCAATTAAGCATTGCCAATTCATCTAACCTGCACATCACACGAACCGAGAGAGGAAACCCACGCAGACATTGGGAGAATGTGCAAACTCCACACAGACATGCGCCCCATGGTGAAATCAAACAGGGTCCCTGGTGCTCTAAGGCAGCAGTACTAACCACCGAGCCACCATGCCGCCCTATCAATTCTTGCTAAATCTGTCTTCTTTCATCGTGGCTGCAGTTCATCTCTTAGGACTTTTCAATAAGCATCCCTTACTGTTTTTTAATGTCTGATGTTAGATGATACACTGAAGTCCTCTAATGCACAAACCTCCTAAGTAGCAATTTAATCGTTTTCTTCTCTTCATGCTCATCAATATGGTTTATTTCGAGTTGGAATTGGCTTTTGAGCTACCCTTTTGCTACAATACAGTAGTTGAAGAAACTTTGTTAGATACCTTTAATTCAAGGCACCACCTAAAATAATGCAACATCTAGTCAGTGAACAAGAAATATTTTAAAAGGTAAATGAATGTTTATTAAATTAAAATCTAAGTTCAAGAGAACATTGTACATTACGAGGTTAGTTCAGGACCTACCTCAATGTAAGCAATATTGTTGCCAGCATCCCTAATCACGGGATGCCAATCTTTCGGAGGCTTTGACAAGTGTTTAACATCTGTTACAAACCAACCCAGTCGAGGCCAACCTGCAAATGGAATAATGGTGTAATAATTCTGATTACCTAAGGTTTTGATGCAGAGGTGGAGATTGAAGATATCCATAATCTAATTGGCAGAAAGTACTTGAATGTAAATTCTTCCAAATATTTTAACTCAGATTTTATTGCATTAGTAACAATGAAATGCATAATTAAATTTTGATGGCAATTTGAAGAAATTTGGTAATAGCATTTTGCTGTCAAAAGGAACTCTCACGAATGAAAATTTGCCATCAAAATACCACACCATTTCTGTGGCTTAGTTCAGTTTCTATTTGCTTTATGAATAGACATTACACAGACAACCCAGATTCACACTGTTGGTACTGATCACTGATGAAAATGGGTAATATTTCAATTTGAACTAGTGGTGAGACAACATAGTCCCATAAAAGACTGATGAACGATTAGCTAACACACCACAGCAGACTTCTATTCAAAGGTTTTTGTGACTCATGGGAGTAAATACAAAATTACCTTTTTATTGACATCATCTTCCAATAAAAACCTGCAGCTTCCCCTTCCAATGCCATCAGAATATCCAGCATTTTTAAACATGCTTCCAGGGTTTTTGCCTGAAGTGTACCCTATGGAGATCTATTCCTGAGGTTGATCACTCGTGTATTGAACTTGCTGGTTAAAACATCTTTTAAAACAGTGTTGCGGTAGTTACGTTCATTATCCACTGGTTGCAAATAAACATGCAATATTACCTTTAAATTGCACTACATCCCCAGTTTGAGACTTTGGTAATCCTTTGTGACAGGCATCGCAGGTGAGTGCAACTGTCACACCACAGCTGCCAAGCAGAAAGCCAATTTGTTGACTGCCAGCATCCTACCAAGAACAAATAAAACATTTTAGGCAACATTTGAAAATTTCAGCACTCCAGATACAATGGCCCTAATCTGGAGTTGCTGAATCAACATCAACAGAGATGTTGATCAACATCAATTTTAGGATCAAACATGCAGATGACAGCTGACATTACCTTTCTAGTTAGTGGTACTTCAATGGGCACAGGAACTAATTCTGCTAAAAGGCAACCGTAAAATGCCACAATAAATGCCACAGGGTCATTATTTGGATACACCAAAGCCACCTATAAACAGAACAGAGAAAATTTAGTTGAATGCCTAGCAATGACAAACATGTAAAGTACTCCCACAGTGCCTACATTAAATATGACGATCATACAAATGTGCATGTCTGAATAAACTAATGATGTTCAGAGGAAAATACAGACAGAGGGTCATTGTTAAATCATACTTCAGTTTCAGATGTTAATCAAAATCTGTGCTTTTAATGAATGCCTGGAAAATATGAAGGAAACTCAGGGGGCTAAAGACCAATACTTCCTCTGTACCTAATGGATGCATCCGAGGACATTAAGGGAAGCAGCTTCTGAGATATTGGATGCGCAGGAAGCAATCTTCATAAAATCCTTTGATTCTGAAGAAATCCCAGAGGACTGGAAAACTACCAAAGTAACATCTTTATTTAAGGGTAGGAGATGAAGAGAAAAGTTAACTATAGACCAGTTAGCTGAACGTCTGTTATTTGGAATATGTTAGAATCTATTACAAAGAGCATTTAGAATGCATAATATTAACAAGAATAGTCAGCACAGCTTCATGGAAGGTAAAATCATGCCTAACAAAATTATTAGAATTCTTTATTGATCCTGCTTGTTACTTCCTTAAAGAGGAAACAGTGGGTGCAATATATTTGGAGTTTTAGAAGGTATTTGATAAGGTACCACACATTAGTCTAGTTCAGAAGATAAGAGGCCATGGTGCTGGAGGTGGTATTTTAGCTTGGATAGAGGATTGGCTAACTAAAAGATAACAAAGCCTTAGGATAAGGGGGCTCTTTCAGACTGACAACCTAGAACTTAGTGGTGCCACAGGGATTAGTGCTGGGGCCACAAGTATTTACAATAAAGGCCAATATTTCATTTGTCATTTAAATATTCAGCTGCTCTTTTCTTCCTGTCAAAATGCATTGCCTCATTTCCCCACGTAACAGTCCATCTGTCAAGTTTTTGCCCACTTGCTTCACCTATCTATATCCCCAGCAGACTTGTTGCATCATCCTCACTACTGCCTTTCCACCTATTTTTGTGTCATCTGCAAACTTGACAATAGTACATTCACTTTGATTATCCAAATCATGACTGTAATATTGTAAATAATTGTGGCCCCAGCACTGGTTAAGTGATACTTTACCAGTTACTGGTTGCCTGCCGAAAATGCCCACCTTATCCCGACTGTCTTCTGTTAGCAAGCCAATCTTCTATCCAAGCTAATACACTGTATCCTGCACCCTCTAATATTAAATACAGGAATGACTGATTTGTAGTTTATAATCTCACCTTAGTCCATCTGCTTCACCTAAGACATGACACATCTAAATGATGATTCTGGGGTCAGGAATAGCTTCATCATGCTTTAGGTCACGAAGCAATCAGGAGCAAAACCAATTGCAATTTTTGAGTATTCTAATTCCAGCACCTTGTCACTACCCTCGCTAAAATAATGGTATTCAGCAAGTACCACATATGAATGGAGACTTTAGCAGTGAATGAATATACATCCCATTATGTACTTCAAGTGAAAGGAAGGTTTACATTTATTTCACACCTTACATGATTGGTGGACATCCCAAAGCTCTATATAACCAATGGAGGGTGCTTGTATATCACTGTTATAAGAAATACGGCAATCAACGGTGCACTGTAATCTCCCACAAACAGAACAGTGATGATAACCCTAAAATCTTGCTTTATTTTCAATGATTTGCATTGAGAGATAAATATTGACCACGACACCAGGGAAAGTCTTTTTGTTCTTCTCAGAAATGATGCCATAGTCCATATCCACCTGAAAGGGCAGGCTGGACCTTGATCTAATGCCTTTATTCAATAGAGGGCACCTGTGACAGTGCAGCACTGGAAAGCCAGCCTAGGTTTTTGTGCTCAGGTTTCTGGAGTGGGATTTGAACCTGCATGCTTCTGACTCAAAGACCAGAGTGCTACCATGGTTAACACGACTAACCAGAGAGTCATCACTTCAGCCTTCTAATGTGTAATCTAACTTTTTGCATTGGAAACTGAAATAGTGCTCCAGACAAAGTGTGTAAGTATGTGCAAGCATTAACAAGGAAGCTTCAGTAAACTGAAATCCAGAAATTAGAACTATCGCGTGTGCCTCCTTCATGTTGTAATTTTTACAACACAACAAAAAAACCTGGAAATTCTGAGCAAGAATACTTACTCTATCACCAGGTCTCAGAAGCGGATCATTCTTATTGCTCAGTTTATTGAGAAGTGTATAAGCTAGCTTGAGGCTCCGAGTCCACAGTTTCCCTGAAACAGATAAAACAAAAGTCAAATATTAATTCTAATGTATTGTAATATTTTCTTAGTTCCAGAAAGCAATGCCACACCAATGAGAAAGACAGTTTCATCACTTCAACCATCATAAATTGATAAGATTTTGTATAATTATATAATCCTGGATAAGATTACATTCATTCAACATTTGAATTAGGAAACATACTATGAACAAGATTTAGATTAGTAGCAACAACAAAAGTCTATTATCATCACTTTATTCAGTGGGCAGGTGCTTACCATAGGTGAGCGTGTAAACTGGCTTTCCTGCAGTATCCAATGAGGTCAGACAAGCCGCCTTCTGTTGTGTCGTTCCCCACCTTTGTACAGCTGCCAGCAGAGATGGGGGCCAATTCGTCACTACACCAAGTGGATCTCCTTGTAATGGCGTCGTCTGAAGACCTTCTGGTTTTGGCTGATTAGGATCGACTTGTTGAACTTGAATTGAAGCAGGATGACAAAGATAAGCAGAACGTGAAGATCAGAAAATACGTGGCTGTACTTATTCTTTAAGGTGAGATCTCTGCCCTATACCACCTTTGAGTGTATTGAAGTTGGACTAAACTGACAACCTCCATTCTTAATATAATATACTCACTCATCGGATGTGGGCATTGCTGGCTTGGCCAGCATGGATTAGTCATCCCTAATTATCCTTGAGGAAGTAGTCGTGAGCTCTCTTCTCAAATCGCTGCAGTTCATGGAGTAGATACATCCAGAGTGCAGTTAGGAAGAGAGTTGAAGAGTATGACCCAGTGACTCAGACACTGTTAAAAATGCCTATTTATATTGAAGATGGAAGACAAAAAGGACAACATACATTCCCCTTCTGGCATGGTACATTGGAAAATTAAGGACATGTTCATTATCTATAAAAACAATTGAACACTGCAAATAATGACAAAGGATTTCCTCCTCTTCAACTTTCAAGATTTGTTTTCACACCTTGCATTTTTTTTTTAAAAGAAAGAGTCGATTTCCCTAAGCCACCTATCATCATATCAATGGATGAGCAATTCCTAGTGGGGTTAATTGAAGACCTGGGTTGTGTCAAATTCAGCATGACTACGCTTCGAGATTGAGAGAGCCATATGACAAGATATGACCTCCCAGACACAGAACTCATGGAAGGTGGATGTAACAGAGAAGGTTATATTAATGGAGAGAGTTCTAGAAAGCAATTTAAACACTTGACTGAGAACTTCAAAATGAGGTTTTCAGAAACTGGGAGCTAATCAAGGTCATGGAAAGACAGGGGAAGGACATGGAAGATGAGACAGTGAAACTTTTTTTTTTTTTTTTTTTTTTTTTAAAAAGATTCATTCACGGGATGTTGGTGCTGCTGAATAGTCCAGCATTTATTGCTGGTGCCTAGTTGCCCTTATGTGGAAATAAGTTAAGGGTAATAGCGTTTTAGGCAAGTTTAAACCTAGAAATTAGAGGATGAGAGGCAAGGCATTAAAGTGAAATGGCACAGATGATGATCATTTCTGTAGGTAAGCTGATGTAGAAACAGAAGTGGATAATCTTTTTGATGGAAAAGATATGGGGGTCTGAAGCTCACCTTTGATTCAAATGGGATCAAAACAAAGCAAACAATCTAATTCAAAGATATGTTACTGTCAGGAACAGGAATGTGTTTTGTGCTGAAGGCTTAAGACTCACCAAGTGCTACTCCTCCAAGACTTCAAGTCAGACAAGTAGTGTAACAATGGCAACAGTAAGGACACCAAAGGGCTAGTGAAGCAAGCTGTCATCAATGTTTGGGGATTCTTGGGAAATTCCTCAAGGAACAAGTTTAGGAAGAGAAACAATTGCTCAAAATGTGCTTGTCATGTCCCAACTAAAGTAGTGCAGATCTAATTGCAGAATGTAGATGACCCAGCAAAATAAAAGTTATGGGGCAATTTGTCCCAAAGTCTAAACTTTGTTTCAATTTTCATCTGTTTATGAAAGAGCTTTCACAATCAAACTGAACTACTGCTGAAAACGTAAAGAAAAAATTATAAGATAAAACAACTAAATAAGATGAACATTGCTGTCAAAGACTTTTCTCTTGCTTTCATCAGTAACATTTGCAACAACACAAATGTCAGGGGAAAACCAACATTTATAGCATATGGGAAGCAAACGTTGACTGGTTGGTAGAGTGTAGCAATGAAGAATAATGATTAATGCTGATTGACAGTTAATTGCCAGGCTTGGTTACATTTTGAATCAGACAATTGGACTGTGATTAGCTGGGGTATTCCTGAGAAGTGAGCCAGCAAAAGGCTGACGCTAATTTTCTTAAGGTGGGGATTCTCTACTATTGTTTACAACAAATCCACCTTTACTAGTCAGTACACACATCGGTGTTCCAACAGTTCCAGTTCCACATGAAGGGCCCTAACAGCAACCACAAATAAGGCCTGAATCGTTCGTTCATTGTGCAAAAAAAAAAGGGTGCATCAAAGCATCCTGCGAGGTGATTGCTACCCTAATCAGATAATTTCCTGCTATATCTCACACTCATGGAAGGCCCCCAAGTCAGTCACTCTAGCTCCTCCAAACTTTGAGCAACTAGTGAAGTTATGGGCCAATTTGTCCCAAAGTCTAAACTTTGTTTCAATTTTCATCTGTTTATGAAAGAGCTTTCACAATCAAACTGAACTACTGCTGAAAACGTAAAGAAAAAACTTGCACAACTGTTTCATAAAGTTGCTATGATGCAGTGGCAATACATCCATGGCTTGTCATCAACAGGATGTGGCTGTCAAGCAAAAACCACATTCTATCAGACAAATGTGCATTAGGTATATGAATTTCAAGATTGGTGCGATATCAGATACACAAGTCCCAAAGTACAACATATCCCTTTGGCTGTCTGCAACAAGGTACTGACCGTACCTAACCAAGGTACATGTGTAAACTCACAATAGTATCCAACTTCAGATGTGAATCTGCAATTAAATAACTTTTGCCAAATAATCCCGAGTGTGTGAAGAATTACATGGGCAACCAATTTAGGACAATCAGTGGAGCTTAGTGTGGTATACTTGCGTGTACTAGAATGTACGTATATTAAAATTGGGGTCCAGTTCTTTACAGACAGAAGGAACATGTATACACATTGCGCCTGTTTCAAGCAAAAATGGGAGGCAGCTATTTGCTGGTTCATTTTTCAGGGTAATGCCCAGCCAAGTCAACCCTGTCTAGATTAAAACGTAACAAAAGCCCGGCAATTAACTACCAATCAGCATCGATGGGCACATTCTCCATGGCACCATTTCTACCAGAATCCACTTGCCAATCAATCAGCCCTCTCCTCAGTATAAATATTGGTTTTCCCTTACTTTGCATTCTTTTGCATTGCGCTGATGAGTACAAGATGAAAAGGTTTGACAATTATGTCACATTTCAGCAGTAAAAACGTGTTCTATCAAATTACCTTTTCAAATAAAATCTATATACGAAGTGAGAATGAAGAGCAAAAGAGGAAGGAAAATTGAACAGAATGATCATCCCATTACACTGCATTAACCTCTTAAATTTTACAACTTCAAATCACAGAAAAAACAGAAAATTTAGTGGTCAAAGAAACTGACTGCTGATTTAAATTTTTTGAAATTTATTGGGATACAAGCATGATTGGTTAGGTCCACATCTGTTGCCTGTTCCTAATTAACCCTGAAATTTTTTTCTTGAATTAATTCATGGGATGAGAGCATTGCTTTTAGGCAGCATTTATTGCCCATCGCTCATTGCCCAGAGGGCAGTTCAGAGTCAACCACATAGCTGTGGGTCTGGGGTCACATGTAGACCAGATCAAGAAAGGATGGTAGTTTCCTTCCCTAAAGTGAATCAGATGGGTTTTTCCCAACAATCAGCAACAGATTCATGGTCACCGCTAGATTCTCAATTCCAGATATTTATTGAATTCAAATTCCACCATCTGCCATGGTGGGATTTGAACCCAGAACGTTATCTTAGTCTTTATAACAGTCCAGCGATAATACCACTAAGCCTCTGCTTCCTCGACAAATGAAATGAGTGGCTTGCTGGGCCAATTCCAACAACAGTTAAGATCAGAACAGGACAGCACACTTCCTTCCTGAACGAGATGAATTTTTACAATAATTGATGACAGTTGTCTGCACACCTATATGGAGACTGGTTTTATATTCCAGATTTATTAATTGAACTTCAGTTCCACCAGCTGCCCCAGACCTCTGATCCCAAAGCATTCACAAGGTCCTCTGATTTGCCAGACCGGTGGCATTACCTCTGCACCTTCATCTCCCCCATGAAACTGCATACTATTGTATGAGATCACAGAAGTTCTCTCATCAAGATTCACTAACCTTCCAACTGTTCTTCAAAATCATCAACAAAGAATTCTTTTAGTGGTGGTCGCTTGGGTCGTTTGAGTGTGTTCAGAAGTTGTTGAATTTTTGATGAAACTCTGCTATTTACAGGCACACCTGGCAAAATGAACAGAAGACACATTCTTTCCAACAGTCCTCAGCAAGTCTGCTGTGTTGGCCATTTCTTTTGCTTCGAAGGCTACAATTTTCAATTGTTAAAGATCACCAAGGCAGAGTACTAAAATCTATTTCAGCAGAAAATTTGTATAGTTGTTAAAATAATGGAAGTAAAACATTTTTGAAAAGTTTTGCAGCATTTTAGGTGTCGTTGATGTATTAGACTGCAATGTAGCATCATATTTGACCTCAGATTGTTTGTAGTATCAGACACCGTTAGGATTCATATCTATCACCCTGACGCAGTGGTAGTACACTGGTCTTCAAATCAAAAGAATCAATGTTTCAAGTGTTAGTCCAGAGATTTCCGCATTAAGTGAGATAAACACCACAGTGCAGTACTGATGGAATGTGTTACTGCCGGAAGTTCCATTACTCTGACAAGACTTGAGGCCAGTATGTCACTTTTCCTCTCGGATGGAAATTAAGGATCCCAAAGTATGACTTCAAAGAAAAGTGACTGCGTTTTTCTAATGTCCTGGTAAATATTTATTGCTCAATCAACAGCTACAATACATTACTTGACTATTCTGACATTGCTCATGGCCCTTGCTGTATGCTAATTGCCAGTCACATTACTAATGACATTGAAACACTTTTGAAATGTTGTCCGTGACTGAGAAGCATCTTGAAAGGTCCCGATAAATCTGAAAATTTATGGCAGTAAAGATTTAACTGTGCTCAGTTTTGATTAATTATCTCTTTTTCTAATGGCCAGGGATCTATGTGAAATAGGTTTGAATGTTCTTAATGCAGAGTGTAGTGGTGGATCCCCATAATGCATTAAATTCCTAAACAAAACACTACAGATGGCGCATATCAATTACTGAAGATAGAAAATGCTCAACAGATTGGGCAACATCTTTGGAAACTGCAACAAGAGCAAACATTTCAGATCAATGGGTTGAGATCATAACATTCTGATGAAAATTACTTGACCTAACACTACTTAGTTTCTGTCTCGACAGATGTCTAATTTTCTGTGTTTTTCACAGCCTTATGCATTTTCTTGTATCTAATGATGATAGATTAACAATCTGATTCAAAGAAAACACAAAGGTACATGAAACCAATGAAAACATATATAACTTTAGGTGCTGCTCATTTACATGCAAGTTGTAGAAATGAAGAATGCTTAATTATGCATCTACTCCTTTCATAGCCAACTTGGAAATTATTTGCTCAGCCATGGAATACCCAGAGTTGAATTTGTTCCTTAAAGGGAAGCAAAAATCACTATCCACCCAATTCCTGCCAAAAGAACCTCCATTTAAAAATGGAGCAGAGTTTGCTTAATTAGATTCCAATTCCAATCATGACTTTGTTTTCAAGCCAGAGTTCCAGGTTCCTCTTTCCTCATACAACTGGAACATAATGTTCAAATCCCACACAAACTTACCATCAGCAGTTTCCATCTTGCTACTGTTGAAACCACAAGGAACTCCGCGAACTGAGGAAACCTGTGGCCGCTCAAAGTGGGTAGCACGCTCCGAGGCGCCAGTGGTCACATCTGGTGGTGCTGAGTGGTTATCTGAATATGAAATAAAAAGAAACATTAAAATATTGACTGTTTAACAGATAGTAACTGAAAAATAAATTAATTATTTGGTTTGTTGCATTTGCAACATACATCTTTACTTTCCACTTAATTACCCCCTTGTCTCTTTACAGGTCAAGAGGAGCAGGCTATACTTGATCAGCAGATTTTCATAGTCATGTGTACACCGTGACAATGAGTGGCAGTATGGTACAGACAGAAAGAGATTACAAAATGGCTTAATCCTTTCCATATCCAATGTCCACACAAAGTAACTGATAGGGAGGAGAGGCAACGATAAAAACTAGGGTCTAAAATCATTACCAGTCATCATAAATCCAGTAAGGAAGTCAGGAACTCAAACTGAAGAGAAGTGAAATCTACTGTCACATATTAACTGTGAGCACATTTATGATAGTATCATAGAATTATAGAACCCCTACAGTGTGAAAGCAGGCTATTCAACCCATCGAGTCCGTACCGACCCTCCAAAGAGCATCCCACCAAGACCCAACCCTGCAGTACACAATGGGCAATTTAACATGGTCAATCCAATTAACGTGAACATCACTGGACTGTGGCAGGAAATTGGAGCACCTGGCAGAAACCCACAAAGAGACGGGGAGAATGCACAAACTCCTCAAAGGAAATCACTCAAGGGTGGAACTGAACCCAGGTCCCTGGCACTGTGAAGCAGCAACGTTAACCACTTAAGGAGAAACTAGGTTAAGTGTTTCAGGGAGAAAGGAATAGGAGAATGATTTTTTGATAAGGTTACAAAGTGAAATAGAAGGAGGCTTGTGCGACAAACACCAACGTTGACCTGCTGCGTTAATTCACCTTGGGAGTGTGTTGTAAAACCCAGAGTAAAGCTTGATGCATTTTGTAACCGGGATATTCTAAAACTCACAACGAGTCTTGGCACTTATCATGCAACCGTTTCAAATTTTAAAACTGCTTTGTAACTGATTTTTTCCTGTTTGTGTTCCAAACTCAACAAACATGAATAACATGAAAAAGGTATGAAAAACATGAAAAGCATGGAAAAATGGAATGAGGCCAAGATCAGAAGCTTAGCAATACCGTTCATCGAAGAGAATTTGTTTCCACTCAACGGCAACTCAAAACATTCAAAGTGAGTGGGCTCAATGAACTTACACAAAACAAGCCTGAAATGATAACATGGAGGACATGCAAAAAAAATGATGCACCACTTATGAGTGGCTGACAATCTCCCACCATATAAAATATATAATTGTAGAATGGTACAGCACAGAAGAGACTATTTTCCACAATCATGACAATTTAAAATACTTGTCCAAATTGTCATATTTGACTGACATTTTCTCCCCCGAAGTCCTGTGGGTTTTTTCTCCCTTATACATACATCTCCTTTGAAAGTTATTATTGAATTTACTTCAGTCACATTACAGACAGTACATTCCAGATAATTGTGTAATACCTCCAGACATCATTTCTCATTCTTTTGAGAACTCTCAGGCCTGTCCTCTGCTTACTGACCCTTCTGTTAGAAATGTTTAGACATTATTTAACAAGGAAAACCACTCATTATTCTGAGCACCAGATCTCCTGACAACTTTGTCTGCTCTGAGCCATTTTTCCAGTGTCATGACCCATGAACCATGGCACCATTTCATAAGTCCCCTCTCCAGCTTCTGGAAATCCATACGCTAAGTGTCTTAATTAAAATTGCTAATAATGCTCTAACCGAACCTACCAGTGTTTTTTGAAGGTTTAGCATAATCTTCTTGCTTTCACATTCCAAGTCCCTCTACAAAGCCAGCAATTCTGCATGCTTTTTCAACAGCCTTTTCAACTGGTCCTGCTGCATTCAAAAGCCTGCATATGCATTCATAAGGTCTCTGTTCCTACACTCTGTAATTGCAACATTGCTATTACATTTTGCTCTCTCACCTCAATATGCATTTAACCACATTATCTCCATTACTTCAAGGAACTCAAGTGAGTCAAACACAATTTGCCTTCAGTAATCTGGGCTGGTTGTCTTTCATCAGCTGTCACTAGAAAGCAAGAGTTCATTTTAGGCCTAAATGATCTTCCACAGCAAATTTGGCTGACATGTAGCTGTTAGATTTATCCCTGTCCTCATTTCTCAACAGGATTGTAACATTTGCAATCCTCCAGTCCTCTGTCACAGTGAGTAAGATGATAAGATTGCTCCAGGGTCCCGAAATTATACCTTTAAACACGTATCCTATTCAGTTTGACTGTCTTGAATACTTTGAACACTGCCAACCTTTTGAGCATGTCCTCGTTAGCTAGTTTTAACAAATCTCATTTTTCTATTACAACCTCCTTTACTCTAACATTAAGATCATTGTCTTTAGTGAAAATGGGACAAGTGAAATCCTCAATTATCACAACCTTAGCGAGAACAATTATATGGTTAAGGTGAAATGACCAATCATGCCTTACCGGCTCCACAAACAAGCATCATCACCTGTTGCCAATCTCCTGCTTTCCCCCCATACTCTTTCATGCTATTTAGACCAAATAATCATCCAATGCCTTCTTGAATGCCTCAACACAACAGGCCTCCACCACATTTCCACATGCCAAGATTTTTCACACTGTACTCTTGAATCCACATCACTTGAATACATGTCCTCTCATTTTTGTTCCTTTCACGGGTGGGAACAGCTATTTTCAATCAAATCGCCTCTCAGTCCTCTTCTCTCCAAACAATTAGTTCCCAAGTTCAAACTACCCACAAAACGGAAATCTCTCATTCCTGGAACCATTCTTGTAAATCATTTCTGTACTCTAATATACACAATGCTCCAGCTGAGGGCTAACAAGCATCTTTTACATGTTCAACATCACCATCGTACTCTTCGACTCTTAATAAAGCCGACGACACTTAACGCTTTAGTAACTGCTCTCTCTACTTGTCCTGTCACCTTCAACGATGTATGTACAGATACACCCAGGTCTCTCTGCTCCTGCACCCCCTTCAGAATTGTATCCCTATTCTACGTTGGGAGGAAGAACAGTGAAAGACAGAGTGTATTTCTCCACTGAACTTCATCTACCTACTCCATCAACCTGTCAATGTCCTTTTAGAGTTCCACACTGTCCTTCTCACAGTCTACAATTCTTGTCATCTGCAAACTTTGAAACTGTACTCTAATGTTACTACACCTTTCTGCACTTTGCCGTAAATTTGCTCTTCTTTCAGTTGCATGATTTAGTGTGGTATTGTTTATAGCCAGCAGTGTAAAAGCTCCTGTATTGTTTCCCAATTCTCAACAAATAATAAATCAGAACTTGAAAATAAAGAAGTTCACCCACACACCACAGACAGAAATCAAAGCTGAAGCACACAAGCCTGAATTTTTAAAAAGATTCAAAACCTCAGCACAGATTCCAAAAAATCTGAACAATGAGAAAGAACAAGGCAGCAGGAAGCTATTTTCTTATGGAAAGGAAAAAGGAAAAAGGAAACACAAGGATTGTGCCTCGATATCCTTTGTAATTTTCTTTATGACCAGTCTTATGTAGAGAACATTAGAAGAGGTATTTGGATGACCTCTTTGCAACATCATTTCACAACATCATTTTTAAAATCACTATAGTATCATCACTTGTTGATTGTAACCCAAGAGTTTTGCTTCACGTGAAGAAATCTTGCATTCAACAGACGGAGCTCAGCAATCCCACTGTAATAAATCAGATCAAAAATCTGAGGCCCTGCCACATCCAGGTACGAACAGTAGTGAACAACTGAGCAAGTAATAGGAAGAGGAAGTGCCTCTAAAATCGCCATCTTTAATGGCAGATGAGCTCAGTACATCAATGCAAAAGACAGGGTTCAAGTATTCGCAAATACCTTCAGCCAGAAATGCCAAGTGGATGATCCGTTATGGCCTCCTCCCAAGAACTCCAGCATGTCATTCTTGCACCAATTCATTCACTCCAAGCAAAATCATGAAACAGGTGTGACAATAATTACAAAAGGGACCCTGAAATACTCTTGAAGAATAGAGCACTGGAATGAGCTGCACCCTTAGCCAAGCTATTCTTGTGAATTTGCCATCTCAATGTCAGGGTTGCAATGTAGAAGTGACCAAGTACGTTCTGTCCACAATAAAGTAGGATAACTCCAGCATGGCCAATTACTGCCCCATCAGTCTAGTCTTAATCAAAATAATTAGAAGTGTCACAGATTGTGCTATCAAACTGCACATGCTCAGCAAGAACTGCTCACCACTCAGTTTGGATTTCATCAAGGCCACTCTCCTTCTGACCTTCTAGCTTTGGTCCAAACGTAGGCAGAAGCAAGCTCAAGGTGCAGGGAGAATGACTGCAATTGACATCAAGATAGTATTTGACAGAATATGGCATGAGCGAGCCCTTGGAAATCTGGAGTCGCTGAAAAACAAGGATGAACACTCTCCGCTGCTGGAGTCATACCATGCACAAAGGAATATTGATATGGTTTGTGGAAGTTAATCCTCTCAGTTCCACAAAATGGTTGCCCAAGTTCTTCAGGGTGTTGGCTTTGACCCAGCCATCTTCCAATACTGTAATGACATCCCCACTTTAAGTCCCAAGTGGGGATGTACACTGATGTTTGCACAATGTTTAGCACCATTAGCAACTCCTCAGATACTGAAGTAACCTGTGTCCATATTCAGGAAGGCTTAGGCAGTATCGAGGTTTGGGCTAAAAAGTGGCGACTGATATTTTTGCCACACAAGTGCCAAGCAATTAGTGTTTCCACAAGAAAGAATCCAATCATGGACATTCAATGGCATTACCATCAGTGAATTCCCCCAGCACAACGTCCTCTACGCATACCATTAATCACAAAAGTGCAAAAGGCCAGCTCATAAATACTGCTGTGGCAACAGGAACAGGGAAAAGGCTGGGAAACTACAGCAAGGAAATCATCTTCTAAAGCTTGTTCATCAGCTAAAAGGAACAAATCAAAAAAGTGTGATGAAATACTC